GGCCTTGAGATATTATCATTGAGCTGACCGGCCCCAAGCAATGTATTAGTAGTTGGTTTTACTCGTCAAGTTCCATCATCTGGATTCGAACACAGGTCTGTATTTCAACAGTTCATGGGAGTACCCACTGAGCCAGGCTCTTGGGTCAACCACCTAACTTCGTCGTACGCCCCATGACCTCCTCAAATTCGTGTCGATTCGTGTCGTCATCCACCGACTCCATCCTATCTTTCACACCCGGAAGTTCGCCCGAAGAGCCCGACATGAGACAAGAACAGGCGCACGGTCCAGTCGCGCACCACGACGGATCAGACGCGACCTGCACGCAGGACCGACCAGTATCGTCTTCCCCCGAACACAACGCACCCTCATTTTGACTGTCTCGAGTCGGAAACATAGTTCATTTTCTGGGTGCGTTATGTTAGGGGGAAGTCAGTAGTGGAAAAGGAACAAGCTGACGTTCTGCTTCATGCAGTCACGTGGCGACTCGATACCCGGCCATGGCACCTGTGCTTCTGTGGAAAATCGCATGCACTCACCGCGACAGTCGAAGCTGAGGAACGGACTATAACAGTGTCCGCACTCAAACCAGAGTTGATGACTAAAGCATATACTCACACTAGCAGTTTCCCGCATGAATGTGGCAATCCGACCAGAATCCCCCATGAATGTGGCCGTCAACCCGACCATAATTCACTCCATAAAGCATACTCGCACTGGGAGACTGTGGGAGTTTAGTTTCCTACATGCATGTTGTCATCAATATCACCACAATTCACTCCAGAAAGTCATAATCTGATCTGATTGAGTATGCACTAATTAACTAATTAATCATCAATCAAAGGAGGGAGAGTGTGCGACACAGAAGATCACCACTGTCGTAAGTCGGGGGCGAGCCCAAACCCAAGCCGATGACCACAAGATCTCTCGCACTGGGAGTTAACTGCATTCATGAGGCCATCAATACGACCAGGTTCACTCCAGAAGGGCCTAATCTGACTGAGTATGCACTACTATGCACTAATTAACTAATTAATCATCAATCGAAGGTGGGATACTGTGTGACACAGAAGATCACCCCGCCGTTGGTCGAGGCTCACCGGCCGACATCGCCAACCTGACAAGCACCTGCTGCAGTTGCCGTCGCAAAGACTGTTCCATAATTTCAAGAAACGTTTGTCGAGAGGCCAACAGCAACGTCCCCACCCAAACCAAAGTCATCGTCACCCTACTACAGACAAAGCACCACAACAACGTAAATTCTCACTAGTTTAAACCGGATTGATTCATCAACGAATAGATAGATGGTTGGTCTTATACGACAAGCCTACTCCTACTAACATCTTATACACACATAGCCAGAAAAAAGGAGGGAAAAGAAAAACATAGTCGGACCATTTACCGATCCATCACTGCCGTGAAGGCCACGACAAAGTTTTCACGGAAGTTTCTTGGAAGCGTCTACCTCAGGAGCCACATCGTCACCTTACAAGTTACAACGAAGCACTACAACAACGTTCATTCTCATTATCAAGAAATCAGCGGTCTTTGGTTGCTTCATTAACCAATAAGATTCAACGAAAAGTTAGAGAGAGAGAGAGAGAGAGAGAGAGAGAGAGAGAGAGAGAGAGAGAGAGAGAGAGAGAGAGA